AGAAGGACTAAAAACCAAGGTGATGAAAAGTAGTGATTCCCCCGCAATTGCATTGTGTGATCAGTAGATAGTTCCCCAAAGGCTAAGAACAAAAAGTCAGTTGGAAAAAAAATAGTATTTTTGCCTGGCATTTGGCTATTAGTTCAAATGAGGGAAACAGCAGCAGGCAAGTCATAAAGTCGGTCACTTCATATTCTTCAGATCCCCATCAATGCTGCTGGCAAATTATTCCGAAAGTGGAGCTAGCTATAAGTTAGGAGGATGGAAGATCTGTCCCTTTGGGAGAGAAATGGGTTATCATTCAAATATATACAGCTGTATAGCTAAATCGCCATAGCTTGGTCATCATAAGATATTCAAGTTTCAGATGTTGTTTTTCTTCCAACACTTTGGTGGATTGTCAGTACTGAAAACAATGGCTTAATACATCACTGCACTGGCCAGGCCTGGGGGAGGGAAGATGGATATCTCGTTCAAGTCTAACTGAAGGGTTCTGAGTTATAGGGCACAAGCCTGCATAATACAAACTCTGAGAAGGTCATGTAAGCAGATCACCTGCTTGCTTCTACTCCGGAGCTTGATTTCTGTGTAACAAGGCAATAAACACACATGTCTGAATGGAACTAAGTCTTCTCTGGGAAAAATGGGTAATTCCACTCTTCAGAAATTGAAGAATACTAGATTTGTAAGAAAACAGAAAAAAACCCCAGGCTCCCCTGAGGATGTGATGACACTTCCCCACAGAATCTTGATGCCCAAGGCTCCACGGGAGGGTGTCACTGGATGCCTATCCAGAAGTCATGGACTTTGCTAGACCACCTGGGTGGAGACTTTCAAGAGATGTGATCCCAGGGTCAGCCCACAGGATGCTTCCCGTGGTCAGAAGGCAACAAACTCCAAGGGCAGAAATGAGAATGGGGAGAAGCCATGGGATACAGAAGGACGGCATTTCATAGTACATTAAATGAAGTTGATGTGATACATTCAGTGTAGGAGAAAACATTTTACCCACATAGACTGCTTGTCAAATCTATGACCACTACCTTCTTTAGGATTTTCTCAGAATGATTCCTTCCTGTTTTCATCCTTTACTGAATGCCGTGCCGCACCTGAGGTGTAGGGCTACAATGGTGAGCATGGCTGAGAAGGAAGGTCCAGCCCCCCGGAACACATGGTCCTGTGTATGTATACAGAGGAGCCAATAACACAGGACAGACAAAACATGGGAGGGTATCAGATTGGGACAAAGGGTCCGAAGGACATAAACAGTGATGCATAAAAGAGAACACCGGTAAAGAAAACAGCACGTGCAGACTGGGCCCAGTGGCTCATGCCTGTAATCCCAGCACTTTGGGAGACTGAGGCAGGAGGATCTCTTGAGTCCAGGAGTTCAAGAGCAGCGTGAGCAAACATAGTGAGAACTTGTCTTTACACAAATTTTTAAAAATTATCCAGGCATGGTGGTGCATGCCTCAGGTCCCAGCTACTTGGGAGGCTGAGGTGGAAGGATCGCCTGAGCCCAGGAGGTCGAGGCTACAGTGAGCCATGATCATGCCACTGTACTCCAGCCTAGATAACAGAGTGAAACCTTGACTCAAAAAACAAAAACAAAACCAGCAAGTGCAAAGACCTGGAGATAGGGAAGGGCTTGACTCGCATGAGGAAGAGAAAGGAGACCAGTGTGTCTGAAGGGTAGTGACATAGACTAGATGAAGAGTAGTATAAGACATCAGCTCTTGTTCCTTATTATTAGCATGCATATTATTTAGTAGGGGTTGAATCCTGTTCTAAGCAGTTCATCAATATTAACTCATTTAGATTCTAGCGGCATCCCTATGGTATATTATTAATTTTATTTTGCAGAGGAAGAAACGGAACATCAGAAAGGTTAAATAATTGGCCTGAGGTCACACAGCTATCACAGAGCAAAGCCTGAATTCCCATACCTCAGACAGTCTGGCTCCAGTCTATGCTCTCAACCCTTGGCTATATTGTCTCTCAGTGAGGTGGAAGACCAAGTATGACCACACCTGACATCTTTTGAAACATTGCTACCTTCCCAGACCCTCTCCTGAGCATTAAATATATTACCAAAAAGAGAGCTAATAATTCACTTCAAGTCTGCTACTGAATAAAGCCTGAGATGTTTCTAACTGGAAGAAAAAAAACAAAAACCCAAAAAACTTGGGAAAGGTCCAGAAAAGAAAAATTTTCTTTCAAATGAGGGTCAGACTGCAGTATGACAAAGGAAGTAGAGATTACAGGAAGGAACAATTTCCTCCAATCTTTCAGGCATATAGGCTTGTGAGGAGCAAAGTAACAGAAATTGGTACTACATATTTACAGCATGACTCCCATATACTTGTCCCTTAATTAACATTACACAGGAACCTAGAGTCATCAGAAAACCAAGAGATGACTTCCAGAAGGAACAGAAAACAAAAAACACAAAACTCAAATGTGTCACATCATTTAAGTTTTCTATTACAAGAAATATAGGCAGATTGTAGTTAGTTATTAGCAGCTGCTGAATCCATTAATGTACCAGCCACTCCAAAGAAAGGAAACACTAGGTTGCTGGCTTTTGTCTAAAACAGGAGTTTGACCTTGTCATAGCACCACCATTCGCATTTTTTAAGCTGGATAAGTAATATATCACTTATCATTATTATTTATTTTTTAAAGAGTAGACTGAGGCACAAAAATCTTAGAGCTCAAGTTCTAATTAATGAAAAGGTCAACTCTAGAAAGAACCCAGAGGGGTGACAAGACGATCTATGATCCCAAATGCTGAAAACCTTAAAGGCATTTGCAAATGCATTTGAAACATAGTACAGTTTTCCTGTTACTTTTCTTAGTCTGAAATTTTGTTTTATATAGCAATAACTCACCTAATGCTAGCTGCTAAGTTCTTCTTGTTGAGGAGGATGGCACGCTCACAGGAGTATTAGTAAATTCATCAACAAAATCAGTAGCGATATAATATTCTAGACAAAACTGCTTTAAAGTGCTAAATGAGCTGGGCTCAGTGGCTCAGTCTGTAATCCCAGCACTTTGGGAGGCCGAGGTGAGTGGACTGTCTGAGCCCACGGGTTCGAGACCCACTGGGGCAACTTGGCAAGACCTCATCTCTACAATAAATCAAAATGAGCCAGGAGTGGTAGCGTGCGCCTGTAGTCCCAGTTGCTTGGAAGGTTGAGGCAGAAGGATTGCTGGAACCCAGCAGGTCAAGGCTGTGGTGGCCGGGAGCGGCCACTGTACTCCAGTCTGGGCGACAGAGTGAGACTCCAACTCAAATAAATAAATAAATAAAGTGCTAAATGCTTCATGGTATCTATGGTTCATGGCCAATAATGCTATTCTGAATACAGATTCAGAATATTTAAGCATAAACATAGGGCACACAGCCGGGTGTGCAGCAGGCACTAAATTACTTTGGATACATTGATTTGACCTCGGCCTCACTATAGACTCTCCTGGGGCTTCTTGGCATTTCTCTGGATAATGGGCAAAGTCCTTCTTTTGGGTAAGTTCCTGCCTTTCAGAATTGTGTCTCCTCAGAACTCTAGGCCAACACGAGGAAGTCTATATAAAGGGGAAGACTGCCCTTCTTTAGTTTTGTTCCTTAATCTAAGGAGGCCCCACCAAGTGCAGCTTCTATGGCTGGCCACAGTATCTCCACGTTTTATATATAGTAACATTGGTTAAAAAAAAATCACTTGACAAAGTTTTCTATTTCTGTAACATTGTGTCAGGAGTGAAGCTTAGCAGCGTGTCTTCCCAGGGGTGAAAGCATTTGTTTGGATTTTAGATGTTAGTTGTAACTCCTTTGTTAAATTTAACTCCTGTGAGAATAAACATTCTTCGTCTTCTAACTCACTGTGCTCTCTGAATTCACTGAAACAACAACCTTGACTAATAACCTTGGGTGATTCCCAGAAACAGCAGGCTGCAGGTGATCTATAGGTATCTCCTGGCTCCAGTTTCTACCCACAAGCAATCTGAAATCTGCAGCAACAATCCCGCATGGCCACACCTAGGCCCACAGCATACATCTGCAGAGCGGGAAGCGGCCTTCCCCTCTAGGACACCTCCTGTCCTCAGCTAAGCTATGAAAGCTCCAGCCCTCGCAGCTTCCTGCCTACCCACCCACGCGCTCTGCTATTCCTTTACCACCTTTCCCACACTCACTTTTCCGGACGCTACAATGTAGCTCGTAAACACGTGACTCCCTAGGAAAGTATTAGCAGAAGACACATCTTGGGGGAATGACTCACTAAGCAGTCTCCAGACCCGTCCACCACCCTGCAGCTGCCCCGCCGCCGTGCCCTGGGCTGCCACACCAGATAAAGAAGGACATTTTCGGAAAACCAAGGAATATTCCCCCACCCTCCCGGAGGCGTCTGCTGCTCTAAGTAGGAAACGACCCACTTACAGGTTCCAATACAAATGGACAAACGTTTCCATGAGGCAGGAAGAAAACAAACACAATTGCTCCGAGGCTCTCCCGACGGTCCCTAGCAACACATCCGCATCCGCAGCGGGCGCAGCGCTCGCAGGCCACTTTCGAAAGCCGTGTTAGACCAGGCCTGCATGGCCAGCTGCAGTCTCCCGCTCGCCCATCCTCTGCACCAGCGGCGCAGCTGGCAAGGTCAGGTGTGCTCTGGAAGGAAGAGGGAAGCCTTGGGCTACACAGCCCGGGAAGAGGAAAGGAAGAACCGAGGAGGGATTGACCTTGAGAATCTCCCCGAGGTATAGACAGCGAGGCGAGACCTCGCTCAGACGCCCCAAACCTATTCCATCAGGGAGAGGATGCAGGGCAGGTGAAGAGCAAAGAGGATGGCCCGGCAGAGCTCCAATCTGCTGATACTGGGAAGAACAGTTAGAGAAATAGTCCTACTCAGCTCAGAGCGGCTGAAATACGGGCAGTGCCCAGCACAGGAGCCGAAATGCCCCCGAAAGGCCGGTGCTCCTTGCTGTCCGCAGATGCTATTACTCACCTGGATCACCTTCGCGTGGCTGGTGCAAAGGCTGGTGCAGACCGGAGCTGCGCGGCGCAGGGTGGGTGCCTCGGGCAGGGAGGGGCTGGGCTGGCCCGGAGCCGGCCCGCCCCTGGCCGGGCACCGTGGCCACGCCCCCAGGGTGGGGCTCCCGGAGCGGGAAGAGGCGTGCTTTCTAAGTGCCAACTCTGGGTCTCGGGTTAGAGGGCGGAGAGTGAATTTTCTTCCTGCTCATGGTCGTCCACAGAGTTACCCCTCTTGTGCCCAGATCCACATATCTACTGCCCTCACGTGCCCTCGTGGCCGCCTACAAAAATTGTGCCAGGCAGTTCATACTCCTCGGATTGGGTTTGTAAAATAACGGCGCGTTGATAAGTTTTTCCCAGCAGAGCCACCGTAGCCTGGTTTTTGGCGCTCCTCGTGGAGGGCCAGGCACAGGCTCGCATGGCGCGTGCGCGGAAGCACGAGCTCCCAGAGGGCTGCGTTCCGGAGTCGCGTGGCGGGACGCGGGAGGCGCGCGGTGTCTCAGTTTGCTGCACTCATTAAGTGGAAGGCTTTAGGGCTGTCGGGCCTGGGAGTTTCCCTTGCTAATGCGGTACCTACTGTTGATTTGCCGAGAGCCGGATCCGAGCCCTGCGCGCGTGCGGGGCCGCCCCCGCCCGCGCCCGCGCCTACGCCCTCTGCGCGCCGGCTCGCTGGATCCCGGACTCTCCGGGACCGCAGCGACCTTTGAAAGTGAGCATGTGCTCCACCTGCGCCCGCGACTGGGCTGTGGGGTGGGAAGGCCTTGGGTGAGTACAGGAGTAGAACTTGCTTCTAGGCGATGTGAGAGGCATAGGAGCTGGACGTGAAGGCACCTGCTTCCCTAGATCGCGCGTCCGAAGCGCCCCACCCTTTCCGCTGGGCGTCGCTCCTCCTGCACCTCCCCTTTGGAGACGCCCGAGCAGTAGCTTGGGAGCGTCACGCTTCCAAGTCAAGGTGTGGAGAGTCTGGAATCTAGGTTTTAGAAGGTATCGGTTGAGTGTTGTCACATCCGCACATCTAGAGGTACTTCAAGGACTCATGCAATCTTTGCTGTTTCCGTTTCGGCAATTTCCAGCCATTCTCATGCTTCCTCTTCAAGTACAAAAAGGCCTTATTTTAGGGTTTTGGCGTGTTGTGTGTTCAGGGATTGTTTTGCTTAACGTTGAAAAGCGATAAGTAGGAAAACATTACAACAACAACAACAACAACATCATCATCATCATCATCATCATCATCATTTTAGAGCCAGGGTCTCGCTCTGTCGCCCAGACTGTGGGGTGGGGCGATCGCTGCAGCTTCGAACTCCTGGGCTCAAGCTGTCCTCCTGCCTCAGCCTCCTGAGCAGCTGGAACTACAGGCACACACCACCATGCCTCACCTCTGCATTATTATTGTTATTAACTAATTAATTAACTTTCTTAGAAAGCGAAATTTATTGAGAGGACAGAAAAGCTCCCATAGTGGGAGGGGACCTGAGGGGGTTGCCTGCCTCTGCATTATTGATGGCAGTTTCTCCACTTGCTGACCCTTCCACATAAGAAAAGGCAGTCTGAAGTGGTAGAAGGATTGATTCAAAAATCAGGAGAATTATGGCCTCTTCTTTCCTGTCTGTTTGACCACAGACAAGTACTTAACCACTCAGGACCTTTAAAAAATCTTACAAATCAATATTTGTCTATTGTAGAATTTTGCGAATTCTACCACATTTTACAGAAAGCACACAAAACATTATACACACTCAGTGGACTCATACTGTATATTCTGTTTGTTGGTCTGCTCTGTTGGCTTCATCAATTGTAAACTATTCTCCTTTTCTTTTCTGACCAGTCCATTCTGCATGTTATTTGGCGATGGTTGCAGGTCATTTCATAGCATGGATGTGCCAGTCCTTTCCCGTTGGAGTTAGCTAGCCTTCAGATTTTGTCTTTTACAGTGTATGACCTTGTAGGTAAATCTGTGTACATGTTTATAATTATGATTTTGATGGCTTTGCTAATTTTTTTTCTAAACAGGAATCTCTGGGTCAGAGAATGCATACCCTTTAAAGTCTTTTGAGGTCTGTTAACAGTGCACTCCAGGAAAAGAGTAAAACGTTCCTTTCCAGCACTGGATAATTAGATATCATTTTCCTCCATCTCTCCAATGGGAATAAGACCTTTCTCACAAGGTTATTGTGAAGTTCAAATGAAGTGAAGACAAAGTGCCACACAAAGGCCCTGCATCCCTGTTGACTCAGGGTGATATACTTTACAAGTCCTGTTACAGCATGAATTATGGATGTGACTCAGAAGTTACTCTTCCTACTTCACTCACCATTAATTCCTTCTTCATTTACAACCTGGCTTTTGTTCCAAAGCTTCTGAAACTACTCTCTTAAAGGTCACCATTGGCCTTGTAAACTCCCTCTGTCCTTGGGTTGTCAGACATTGCTGTGCCCTGCTTTTCTATTTTCCTGTGCTGATTCCTCTTTATCTCCCTGCCTCTTTCAATGTGTTCATTCTCCACAGCTCCTTCCTCTGTTTTTTTCTTCCCATTATTTTCTGTGAGTCTCTTCTTTGACTCTCCCTTTACAGTTGCATCCACTCCTGTGGCTGCTTTATGTAACTAGAATCCAAATTCCCTTCTTTTTAAAGAAAGTTCCTCATGTTTTGCATGTTCTTTGGAGACAGTACCTACTGTAAGACCGAAGTTAAAGGGCCAGTTCTCCCTCTCCCTTACTGCAGAGGAGCTGGGAGGAGGGTGGGCTTGCTTCTTTAGCTTTGCTAATCAGATGCTGGCTGCCAGGACTCTGACCTTGAAAGAGTTAACAGCAACATGGGGACATTTGGAAGTCTCATTCATTATGGTGACTGCAGTGGGCATCCCGACCTGATAATCTTTTCTGACCATTCCATTTAACATTGCAGCCTCCCTCTTCTCCAGGCCTCCTTATCCCCCATCTTTGTTTTACTTTCTGCCATTTGAAATATTTTTGATTTAATTAATGTCTTTGTTTATTATCTGGCTGCCCAACTCAAATGTAAGTTACATGCAAGTGGAGATGCGGTCTGTCTGCTTACTGCTGTATTCCTAGTACTCTTAGATGTCTGGCAGAGAGTAGGCACTCAGCAGCTATTTGTTAAATGAACGAAGGAATGACTCCTTTCTGTTGCCTAGCCCTCCAGAACTTGCTGCGTTCCTGGCGTTTTTATGAAGCCTGCATCTCCAGCCTATCACTGCCTTTGAGTCAATAGCCTCCCAAGAATCCTATTCAAAAAGTTAGCCAGAATCATTTTCTGTTTCATGCAGAAACACTATATTACAGACTTTCTCACCCACAGAACGTCCAGGGCCCCACATTCATTCATTACCCTTCCAATCAGACCTTTTTGTGTTTTAGCAAAGGGTATCATCTAAGTTGTTGCTTTAGCTAGAAACTTGGCAGCACTCCCAGTCCTTCACTTCCTTGGATGTGGGAATCAGTCCTGCAGTGGAATTCAGAGAGGCATTTATTTAGCTGTGGAACTTTGGGGGAAATCATGTAAACCCTCTGAAACTTGTTTTACCTTTTATTTTTATGTAAGTTTGAATACTAACACCAGCTTGGCTTGGTGGTTGGGAGATTGGTATAGACTTTGGGCCTACTGTAGGTAGTTAATAAATGGTAGCTGTTGTTATTACCAATTCGTGTTGAGACTCAAAACAATTTCCTTTCTAGGCCTGAGCTTCAAGTCTCTTTCGCCCCAGACAATTACAGTAACTTTTTAACTGACTTTCCTTTCAAAATATGCCATCACAGTATCTTTCTAAAGCAGATACAGGGCCAGGAATGGTGGCTCATGCCTGTAATCTCAGCACTTTGGGATGCTAAATGGGAAGATTGCTTGAGCCCAGGAGTTCAAGACCAGCCTGGGTGACATAGTGAGACCTCGTTGCTATCAGGTATGGTGGTATACACCTGTAGTCCCAGCTACTCGGGAGGCTGAGGAAGAAGGATCACCTGAGCCCAGGAGATTGAGGCTGCGGTGAGCCGTGACGCTGCCACTGCACTCCAGCCTGGGTGACAGAGTGAGACCCTGACTCAAAAATAAAGCAGATCTCTTCTTCAAGACTGACTGATGCCTTCTTTAGGATGAATAAAGTTCAAACTGTCAAACACAGCATTTAAAGATCCTGGTCAGTCTAGCCTCAGACTACTTTTTTTTGAATCATCTCATTTACCATTAATAAATATTTGCTGAGTGCCTATTGGATGCCAGGTACTAATAGAATTTACATTTTAGTAGGAGAACTTGTCAGTAAAAAACTAAATAATGAACCGGGCTCGGTGGCTCAGCCTGTAATCCCGTGCCTTGGGAGGCCGAGGTGAGTGGATTGCCTGAGCCCGTGGGTTCGAGACCCACCTGGGCAACTTGGCAAGACCTCATCTCTACAATAAATCAAAAATTAGCCGGACGTGGTAGCGCGTGCCTGTAGTTCCAGCTACTTGGAAGGCGGAGGCAGAAGGATCACCGGAGCCCAGTGGGTTGAGGCTGCGGTGGCTGGGAGTGGCCACTGCACTCCAGTTTGGGCGACAGAGTGAGACTCCAACTCAAAAAAAACAAAAACATGGTCGTGCGCCTGTAATTCCGGCTACTGGGAAGGCTGAGGCGGAAGGATCGCTGGAGCCCAGCAGGTCGAGGCTGCAGTGGCCGAGAGTGGCCACTGCACTCCAGTCTGGGCAACCAAGTGAGACTCCAACTCAAAAAAAAAACTAAAAAAAACTAATTAATGACAGGTTGTGACTATCTTAGCCTATTTTGTGCTGCTATAACAGAATACCGGAGACTGTAATTTATAAAGAACAAGTTTATTGGCATTTTGTATTTGTTATTTTGTCTACCTGTATAAAACTTTGTCTAAATTAAGGATATTGACTGTTTGCTTCCTGTACTGAAAATATCTTTCCCCAGTTTGTCATTGATGATTAGGTTTCATTTATTTGTGTTTGGACAAAAAGAAGTTAATAAATTTGGTGTGATTAAATTTACCAGATGTCTGCCTTACAGCTATTGGCTTGGTGTTCTTGGAAAGGCCTTTTCAATGGAAAAT